TTTAAAAAAAAAAAGAAAGAAAGAAAGCCAGGCGCTGGTGGCTCAGCCTGTAATCCCAGCTACTCAGGAGTGAAGATTTGAGGATCACAGCTTGAACAGCCCAGGAAGAAAAGTGTCCATGAGACTCTTATTTCCAATGAGCCACAAAAAGCCAGAAGTGGAGGTGTGGCTGAAGTGGTAGCGTACCAGCCTTGGGTGAAAAATCTAGGCAGGAATTCAAGGCTCTTGACTTCAAGCCCCAGTACTAAATTCTAAAGAGAAGATTTTAAAAATGCATCTATTGTTTACCTGAAAACTGCCTCTGTGTGGGTTTCATAACAAGGCAATTGAGGTTAAAGTTCTGTTGTTTAAAGTACCTATCTTGCCGGGTGCCACTGGCTCACACCTGTAATCCTAGCTACTCAGGAGGGCTGAGATCTGAGGATCTCAGTTCAAAGCCAGCCTGGGCAGGAACGGCTGCGAGACTCTTCAATAACACACCAGAAAACCAGAAGTGGCACTGTGGTTTAAGTGGTAAAGCACTCGCCTTGAGCTGAAGAGCTGAGGAATTACCCAGGCCCAGAGTTCAAGCCCTACGACCAACAAATACATACCTCGTGAGATTTGGGTTTTTCCTCAATTGGTACAAATATTGTCACTGGCAGGTTCCTGTTTGTTAGCTAAATAGCTTAGTCCACTCCTTCCCTTCTCCACAGCTTAGCATGCCCCCTTCCTACGCAACACCAGGCCCATGTAATAAAGGCAGTAAACAACCAACTTCCATTCCCCTTTACCTTGGGATGGCACTTCTCTGGGGCAGCTACGCCATAGAAGGCAACAAGAGCCCCTTAGAGTGACCTTCAGGTCTGGGCAGCCGCAGGGCCCCGTATCTACTGTTTGGACGGCAGCCATAAATCCTAGTCTGCCATGATGAAGCCCCTGGCCCACATGTCCACACCCTGGTCTCTGCCTCCTAGCCCTGCTAGCCCCTCCTAAGCCTCCTAGGTTACACAGGTCGCCTCAGACAATAGCCGGCGCTTCCGCTCACTTCTCCCTTGTGAGAAGGGGTCTTGTGGGCCCTTTCCCAGCAATACACCTTTCTTTGTTCTCTGTACCTGGATGTCTGCGTGGTTCTCTGGCAAAGTCTAATAACCTTTCATTTGATCTTTCACTGTTGCTGTCTGGGAGAGGCCGAATGCACGTTGCCATATTTCTCCACAGAATTATTACCCAGGGCTTGGGTTTCATCACAAAAGCCAATCTTTTGACCAGACAGCTTTACTTGACTCGATTTAGCTCTGTGAGGAACTGCTTAGTCCCTGTCTCCTTGGCAGAGGGCCCCCAGGCCACCCCCTTGTGCTTGCTGAAGGAGGCTTGGAGGTCTGTCAGTCAAGGCCCTCAAAGAGGAGGAAGTCAGCAGGCAGCCCTGCCAGCTCAGCAAGGTGCGGATTCACCCGCTGATGTGGAAGGAAGACAGGATCTTTGAGCCCTGCCAGCTTCCATTTTCCTGAATCTTGGGGACATGAGGAAATGAAGCTAGAAGTTAGAACTTAGGGAGAAAGGCAATAAAATCAACTGTGGCGAGTCTTGCGTTTTGTGTGTGTAAATTCACATACTCTTTAGAACACCTCGTGGAGAAAGGGCGTTCAGCCATTGCACAAGCTCAAAAGATAAAATCTGAGCAGCAGGTGACTGGGCCAGTGCTGTGGCCTGGGAAGGCTGAGTCAGACCTGAGCTTCAAACTGCTGTACCAGACAGGTCTTCCTGTTTCTCTAAGCACCTCCTCTCCAGAGCCTTCTTACTCCTGGGCCCAGACCCCCTGCTGGAGTTGACCGGGGTGCTGACACCTCTTCCAAAGGATGACAATTTCCAAGACCCATCCTAGGGCCAAAGACTGCCCCTTGCCCAAATCTCTGGCCTTGGGATCACCCCTCAGCATGGACGCAGCCTGGGAGCTCCTGAAATCCTGCAGGAATTGGGCTATCAGAGCAAAGGGGCTGAAGCAGGTGCCAGAGGCTCACGCCTGTAATCCCAGCTGCTCAGGAAGCTGAGCTCTCTCCGAGGCTAGCCAAGGCAGGAAAGTCCACCACTTCTTATCTGATCAGCAAAAAGCCAGAAATAGAGAGGTGCCTCAAGGGGTAGAGCATCATTGAATGAAAAGGCTGGGGACAGGGCTCAGGCCCTAAGTTCAAGGTTCACACGTGTGTATGCACAGGTACACACACGCGCACAGGCGCACACACACACACACACACACACGCACACGCACAATCACGTGATCCTCGAGTCCCAGCTTATTGGACAGATGGGAAGTGCTGGCACTAGGTGCAGTGTCCCCACGCAGCAAGGACCCCTGACCTGAGTCGAGCTGACCCACGGTTCCGGCTGACTCCTTCCTGTGACCCATCTGCTCACAGCGGTGGATTTTGCAGATCTGTGTCCCATCCTCCATGGTCTGGTGAACTCAAGTGCTCTAGAATTGCTCTCAGCCCCCTGGGAGAAGACCCAGATCTTGCCACCAAATCAAATATACATTAGCTTCTCACCATGTTTCCCAGGCACTGTGAGTCAGCTGGCTATGCACCCTTCTGGGAAGGATTGGAGGGGACAGGAATGGAGGGGGGTCAGAGGGTGCTGGAGAGAGGGGAGAAGGGATGGTAAGGTGAGAAGGGTACATTCCTACCTGGGAAGGGCGGAGGTGTGGCGCCTCCTTGGAGTGGCAGGGCCTACCCACCATTCAAAGACAGAATCCTGGAGGACCCCTGGGTGGAGGGGGGGTGGGGAGGAGAGGAAGGGAGCCAGCCCCGATGCCCTGCCCTAGAAAAGAGCCTAACAGGAAAGCTAGGACACAGGCCCAGCCAGGCTTCAAGGCACAAGCCGACCAAACGACACAGGTGAGCTATGACCTTGTGGTTGACCTTCCCAGTAAGCCTGGGGGATTTCATACTTGGAAGGGCGAGGAGCCCTGGAAATGGGTGGAGGAAAAAAAGATAGAAGTGAAGACCAGTGAGGACAGATAACCCTTGTGGTGTCCTATGAATCAGAAGCCAGTCACAAGAAAGGTTCCATTCAAGGAAGAGTCCCACTGATGTGAAATGACCAGAAAAGGCAAATCCATGGAGATAGAAAGTAGATGAGCCGTTTCCAGGGGTAGAGAAAGGGGATGGAAGGGATGGCTGAAATGATAGCACTGATTTTGTGGCCGTGAGGAAATACTGACTATGCGTACTTCGTAAGTTGGCTAGTAGGTAGATAGGAGACAAAGGTAGGTAGATGACCTCTGGAGCTCTCTGTCTAGCCTAGGCTGACCACCACGCTTCTTTCCTGCCTGATGCAGTTCACATCTTTCCAGTTTAAGCTATTGTTGTTGGAGTGAGGAGGTTGAATTTCACCTGAATGGGTGCAGCAGCTAGAGCAGGTGCAGAATGAAGCGCATGCAGGAATCAGGTAAGGCAAACTGGGGGGGCCAGGGGGCCCCAGGCAGGGGGCGGCGTGGGAGCATTCTAGGCAGCAGGAGAGAATGTCTAAGGCCCCGAGGAAAGAGGAGACAGACTTGGGCTGTCCAGCCAGCAGGCAAGGGTGGGAAGAGAAACGAAGTTGGAGATAGGATTGGGCCGGGAGGATCTCACAGTCGTGTAAAAGGTGTGGGTGTGACCCCGGGGGGGGGGGGGGGGGGGGGGCAAAGCCCAGTGGAGTTGGGAGAGAGGCCTGGGTCAGGCAGGAGGCTGCCACACAAGCTGCCCCGACTTCAGCCAGCAGCTCTTTGCTTCTGTGTCAGTACTGGGGCTTGAACTCAGGGCCTTGGGTACTCTTCAGCATTTTTTTTTTTTTTTTTGCTCAAGGCTGATGCCCTATCACTTGAGCCACATCGCCACTTCTGGGTTTGTTTGTTTGTTTTGCTGGTTCATTGGAGATAAGGTTCTCTCATATTTATCTGTGAAGGTTGGATTTGAACCTGGATTCTTAGACCTCAGCCTCTGGATTGGATAGGATTATACGCGCCTGGCTTCACTGGGATTTTAAGAGTTAATGGTGGAAGCTGGGTGCTGGTGGCTCCTACTTGTAATCCTAGATAAGGAGGAGGCTGAGATCTGAGGATCAGGGTTGAAAGCCAGCCTGGGCAGCAAAGTCCATGAGACTCTTATCTCCAGTAAACCACCAGAAAACCGGAAGTGGAGCTATGGTTCAAAGCGGTAGAGTGCTGGCAATGAGCAAAAGAGCTGAGGGTCAGCGCCCACAACTAAATAAAAGAGTTAATGGTGAGTTGGACGGGGAAGACTACAGGGTCACCGAGGGTGAAGGCAAGATAGAAGTCAGAGGTGCATTGTGTTGGAGAGGTAGGGAGGTCCCCTGCTGGAGGCTGAAGCTGAGGCCAGAGTAGAGGGGAATGAAGGCTACAGAGGGAGCCCTGCCAACCACTAACAGCCTGGGGTGCCTTCAGCAATGCCCAGGGCAGCCGGGTGCGGTGGCTCATCCCTGTAATCCCAGCTACTCAGCCGGGACTTAAGGCCTGTTGGTAAGACCCCATCTCAACCAATAAAAGTCCGGGTGAGGTGGCTGTGGATTCTGGGGTCTGTTCCCAGATGCGGGAACAGGTGGATAGGGGTCCAAAAATAATCAGAGCAAAAAACCAAAAAAGGACTGGAGGCGGGGCTCAGCCGGTGGAGCACCTGCCTGGAAACTTCTCCACGGACATGAATGATGAATGCATCCCGCAGCCTTCCTAAATGCGAATGGGTCCGGAACGCGTGGCCGGTGCGCCCGTGGTCTGTCACGAATGGGGGTGTCCAGTCACCGCCCTCACGTCACCCCAGCTCCCCGCCCCTCCGGGCCCCGCGCCCGGCTCCTCCCCGCGCCCGCGTGTGCGCGCCGGCTGCGGCGGGGCCGGGGACGCGGAGCGGCGGAGCGCGAGCGGGGCTCGGCCCAGGCTGCGATCCCCGCGTCCTCGCCCTCCGAGCCGGCCTGGGGGGGCCCGCACCCGGGCGCAGGAGCGCGGGGCGCGGCGCGGCGGAGCGGCCCGCATGGAGCCGGCCCGGGAGCCCCCCGCGCGGACCCGGCCCCCGCCGCCCGCCGCGCGCCCGGCGCCCGCCGCCGCGCCCCGGCCGCGCTCGCCCGCCGACGCCGAGGCCCGCGGCCCCGAGGGCGCGCTGCGGAGATCGGGGTCGGGCTACGAGGGCAGCACCAGCTGGAAGGCGGCCCTGGAGGGTAAGCGCCGCGCCCCGCGCCCCGATGCCGGCCGGGCGGCGGGAGTCACCTTGCGGCTGCCCGAGGGGGCGCGCGGGGACGCGGGGCGCGTAGGCCGCGGGCCCCCCTCATCCCCCCCCCCCCCCCCCCCGCGTCACCGGGGCCGCGGCGGCGGCTGACCTTGGGAGGAGCTTCGTCGGCTCCAGCCCCGCACCTGCCCCGCATGTGGGGCGGGTGAGGGGTGTCTCGATCTGGGGCCGCGGCGGGGGCGAAGCGCGGGGGGCGGTGCGAGGCTGTGCCCTCCGGTGCCCGGGCTCGGGGGCGACCCCGCCGCGGTGACACGGACCCGGCGCCGGCTGCCAGCGCCGCGCGCGGCACATGCTGGAGTTGACCGGAGAGATACTTTTCTTTTTGTAGGTCAGTCGTGAACTCGGGGCCTGGGCGCCGTGCCTCGGCTCTTCAGCTCCAGGCGAGCGCTCTACCCCTTGAGCCACAGCGCCACTTCCGCTTCTTGAGTGGTTCCTTGGAGATAAGAGTTCCCCGGAGCCGCTCCTGCCCGGCTGGCTTTGAACCCCGATCCTTAGATCTCCAAATTATTTCTCGAACTTTCCCGGTCATCTCGCCGGTACTTCTTCCGTAGGCCGCCGTTCTGATGGCTCTGCCCACTGAACCTTCGTTCTAGCCCCTGCCTGGCAGGGCCTTGGTCAGGGCGGTGAGGCGCCCATTACTGCCGCCTGGGCCTTTGATTGGCACCTGGTGCTTCCTACTGCCCTCTGGTCGGCGGCCCTGCCAGGGTCCTCTAGGCACTGGGTCCGTCCTGTGCTTGCCAGCTGCTCTGCCTTGGTCCCCTGCCCGGTGGCTCCCTGCACAGCCTTGCTCTGTGACTCAGTCTACCCGTGTCCCCTCCTCTCCTCTCCCCTCCCGGAGGTACCTTTGACGCCCTGGGGCTTGAGTCATCAGTATCTTGCTCTGTTGCTTCCTGGGGGGGGGGGGCTTCTAGGATCTGGGGTCACCTGGGTGCTCCTTGAGTGTCTCCATCTCCTGTCACCCTAGGGTGCTTGTGGGCCAGGACGCAGCCTCTCTCGGTTGCTGCGGTGTGAGCCTTTATACTGGTTTGTGCTGTTGGTTCCGTTTGCAGCGGTAGGGATTGAATCCAGGCCCTCCTGCGCACTAGACGAGTGCTCTGCCACTTGAACCACATCCTTGGCCCTGCTGCCTTTTGTGCTAGAGTCTTGATAACTTTGCCCAAGCCAGGGTGGCCTCCCAACTCTGACATCTTCCTACCTCCACCTCCTGCTCAGGCTGGGATTGCAGGCACGCACCACAATGCCTAGCTTCATTCATTTGCTGTACAAGATTCAGATGTTACCCTAGGCCCCGGGCTTGAAGAGACCCCAAGGTCTGGCTGAGTCCAGTGAAGTACGAAGAGCATGGTGTCTGGTAAACTTGACCCTGACCTGCCACATGCTGGGCTGGCAGGCGTCAGTGGAAGCCTGTTTCTTCATCCACAGTCAGACAGTCATGGCTACCTCTCAGGGCCACACAGACAGGGTGTGGAGCAGGAGTGTCACCATGGCAGCTCCACCCCCAGGCTTCCTGGGCCTCTGGAGGTCTCTCTGGGTATCACGAAGCCTGAGTGGGGAGGGCAGGGAGCAATGGGACCCGAGCCCTCCCGAGCCATCCGGTGACCCTTGGATGCCACCTGCTTCCTGGAACTGCATTTCACTGGTTCTAGAGAGCTTGGGGACTTGGAGTCACTGTTTAGCCCAGCAGTGGATAAACAATGCTGGGGCTTGAACTCAGGGCCTTGTGTTGCTTGGCTTGTGGATGGTCTTCCTTCCTTCCTTCCTTTTCTCTCTCCTCTCTTCTCTCTCTCTCCTCCCTCCCTTTCTTTTTTTTTTTCTTTCTTTCTTTCTTTGTTTCTTTCTTTCTTTGTCAGTGTGGGGCTTGAACTCTGGGCCTGGGCGCTGTCCCTCAGCTCTTCAACTCAAGGCGAGTGCTCTACTACTTGAGCCACAGTGCCACTTCCAGCTTTTTCTGCTTATGTGGTGCTGAGGAATTGAACCCAGGGCCTCATGCATGCAAGGCAAGCGCTCTACCACTGAGCCACCTTCCCAACCCTTCTCTCGCTCTCTCTCTTACCTTCTTTCTTTTCCTCCCTTCCCCTTCCTTCCTCCTTCCCTTCGCTTCCCTTTCCTCTCCTCTCCTCTCCTCTCCTCTCCTCTCCTCTCCTCTCCTCTCCTCTCCTTTCCTTTCCTTTCCTTTCCTTTCTTTCTGCCCTGAGTTCAAGCCCTGGGGGCTGTCCCTGAGCTTTTTCACTCAAAGCTAGCACTCTTCCACTATGAAGCGCAGCTCACTGTGGGTTTTCTGGTGGTCAGGTGGAGCTGAGTCTCGTGGACTTTCCAGGCTGGCTTCACACCGTGCTCCTCGGATCTCACGAGCCACCGGTGCCTGGCTCTTTCTTGGCTTTTAATTCAAGGCTGGTACTCTGTCACTTGAGTTACACCTCCACTTCTGTCTTTTTGCTGGCTAATAGGAGATAAGAGTCTTGGGGACGATTCTACTCGGGCTGGCTTTGAACTGCGATCCTCAGATCTCAACTTCCTTAATAGCTAGGGTGACAGGCGTGAGCCCGTGGCACCTGGCTTAGGCCAGCACTCTTGAGGGGAAGGAGCGAGGTCTTGTCCTGATCACGCTGAGTCCTCTCACCGTGCCAGGAGTGAACCTCAGGCCAGCCCTCACCCGTCACCCCACGCACGCCCCACGCTCAGTGAGAGCGCTGTGAGTCTAGGGGTCTCACGCAGGGACACACGAAGCCCCCATGGGGCTCATCACAGGTCCCTCTGGTGTGAAAGTTCTTCCCGTGTCTTGTGAGGCTCAGCACCCCAGGTTTAGGAGGCTAATGGGAGGAGGTCCAAATGCACTTCCTGTGTGCCCAGCCTTCCCCTTGCACCCCAGATGAGAGTTGCTTCGCTCCGCAAGCCCAGGGCGAGGGCTGGGGCTGGAGGACTGTCCTTGGCGGAGCAGGTGGCTTCATCAGTAGAAAACCAGGCAGAAGTTCCCCGTGCATGCGCGCTCTCCTCTCCTGCGGACGCCAGCTGCCCCTTCCACCCAGGCAGAGTCTGGAAAGGTGACCTAGCGCTCCCGAAGGTTCTGGAACCACTGGAGGTGATTCAGGAGGAGCTATTTCTGGCAGTGGGGGGTGGGGGTGGGCTAGGAGGGAACAAAGTGGCCTGGGGTAAGTCGGGGCGAGGGGACAGAACGGCTCTGCCGACCTCAGGCTATAGATTTCCCAGTGACCACCAATTCTGAATTTTTAATGTTGAAAGTTTCTTGCTTAGGCAGAAACCCACAACTTCCTGATCAAAACCACACACATGCTTTTAGCCAAAGCTTCTTCAATTCTTTTAAAAAAATTACCAAGTTGTTATTTGATGGCTTTTAATCCTCGAGATAATGCTGGCCAGGCCACCTTGCCTGCAGCCATCCACCGGGGTTGCTGACTCGGCAGGTGGGGGGCGGGGAGGGGGGGGCGAGGGGAGCGGGGAGTCTGCAGAGGCTTTGTTCCAAGACTTCTACATGTCTTTTGGCCTTGAAGGTGAAGATGGATGACCAATCACATGAATTCATTGTTGTTTTCTTCAGAACCCCCTAGGGATGGGCTATCCCTATAGGCTATCTCCCCTTCCCCTCCATAGTGGGGCTTGAACTCAGGACACTGTCTCTGGGCTTATTTTGTTCCTACCTGGGCAGGCTTTGAACTAAGATCCTCAGATCTCAGCCTCCTGAGAAGTTAGGATTATAGGCGTGAGCCACCAGCACTCAGGGTTATTCATTTAAAAAATTTATTTATTTATTTTTATGCCAGTCCTAGGACTTGAACTCAGAGCCTGGGCTTTGTCTCTGAGCTTCTGTGCTCAAGGCTGGCATTCTGCCACTTGAATCACACTACCACTTCCAGCTTTTTGGTAGGTGACTGGAGATAAGAGGCTCACGGACTTTCCTGTCTGGGCTGGCTTTGAATTTTGATTCTCAGATCTCAGGACCCTGAGTAGCTATGATTAAAGGCATGAGCTACCAATGCCTGGCTACTGTGGGGTAGTGTAAAAGCCACAGCACAACTAGAACTGGGGTGAAGGAAGAGCAACAAAATTGAGATCTTGGGAACAAGTGGCTAAGTGGCCCCTGACTTTTAGTCTGCATGAGGAAGTGCAGAAAAAAAGCACATGAAGACCCCACAGACTCAGGATGAAGGAAGGTCAAAGAGTGGTAGAACTTTTCTTTCAGAAGGCTCTAGATCCCCATTCTAAACAGTATCTCCCCATGGTGGAAACTTGTGGTGAGAGCCCTCCAGTGTTAGGGCCTGTACGCCCTGTACACCAAGGGAAAGAACTGCAATCTACCTTCCATACTGAGTGTGGAGGACCATCTCTTGGGAGGACCAGTCCTCTTGTGGAGGACCAGTCTTCTTGGGAACAGCCCTAGCCAAGTTTATAATCTCCAGAAGAGAACATAGAAGAACCTTTTCAAGGAACTCTAATCTGCCCAAGAGGAAAATTGTACACAGAAACATACATTTTCTTCCCAGCCCTTCTTCCACATCAAGAAGAACTATCAGCTATCTCTATCTATCTATCTGTCTATCTACTATCTATCTATCTATCTATCTATCTATCTATCTATCTATCTATCTATCTATCTATCTATCTGTCTATCTGTTTTAGAAGATAAATTACACCATTAAAACAAGAATAGAATCCTTTAAGAGGGGATAGACATGATACAGCTTTAATAAACCTAAAAATCTTTGGGAATTAAAAATATAATTGCAGAACTGAAAAACACAGCAGAAGGGTAGTAAGATAAAATGGAGGAAATAGAGCAAAAGGGCAAAGAGACAGCAAATTCGAGAAAAACAAATGATGAGAAGTTTGGAAGATCAACCCAAGAAGAAATCTTCAATGATATAATTGAAGACAATTTCATAGACTTGAAGGATCTGAATTTCCAGATTGAAGGGCCATTGATGGCTAGCTAGAGGGAAGAAAGATAGGCTAAAACCAAGCATGGCTTGCAAGATGACAAGTTAAAATTATGTGTGATAAAGACTCTGTAAACTTCCATTTAGAATAAAAAGTAAGTGATTAAAATGAAATGGCTCATGGATGAGAACACATGTAGATTTTTCAAAAGCAACACTGGAGTGAGAAGCTGATACCTTCAAAATTCTGAAAAAAAAAAAAAAGAGTTCAAATTATAATGCCCTAATTTCACAGCTCCGGGGCTCCCACGGACCTTGGAATGCAATGAGGAGTTTTGCTCCTTGGAGTTGTTTGGTACACTGATTGTACTACAGCTTTTCTGAGACAGCCGTTGGGAGGTGCGACTCAAGAAGAATTCATGAATGAGAATGGAAGGAAAGCAGCACTACGTGGAGGCAGAGCAATTCTCAGGCCGCTGAGTTTAGAAGGAAACTAGTTAGATGGGAGCAGGTCAGAGAGTCCCGTGTAAGTTGTTCTAGACTGAATGTGAATTTCCTCTACAAATTCTGCTTAATTCCTAACCACTAAGTGGAATTAAATGTACCTATATATATGTACAATGGGCAAAATAGTTAAAAAAAATTGTTCTCCCCCAAAACATTCATAAAGGGAATTCACATTAGTAGGACATAATAATAAAGAATAATAATAAAGATAATAATAAAGAATAATAGTAATAAGTCAACAACTGCGGATGAGGCTGTAGAGAAACCGGAACCCACTACATTGGGGGTGCAAATGTAAAATGGCGAGTCGCTGTGGAAAACAGTTGGATACTTTCCTCAAAAAGTACAGCAAAATTACCATACAATCCAACAATTCCGCTCCATGGTAAATGACCCAAAGAACCGAAACTGGGGACTCAAAAGTCTTTGTATACCATGTTCATGGCTGTAAAATTCATGATAGCCAAACAACACAAGTATCCACCATCAGATAAACAAAAATGTAGCTTAGCTACATAATAGAATAATATCAAGCCATAAAAAGGAATACAGTTGTGATACCTACTATAACATAGAGCCCTGAAAAGATAATATTAAGTGAAATAACCCCACATCAATGAACAACTATTGTATGGTTCCATGTATATGATATATCTATAACAGAAAACTGATGGAATGGGGAGCTTCTGTCAGGAAGACGAGAGCTTGAAAACAGACAGCTGTGCTTAATTCTGTTTTTGTTTTTTGTTTCTGTCCATCATAGTGCTTGAACTCTGGGCCTGGGCACTGTCCCTCAGCTCTTCAGCTCAAGGCGAGTGTTCTACTGCTTGAGCCACGGTGCCACTTCTAGTTTTCTGGTGGCTTATTGGAGATAAGAATCTCAGGGACTTTCCTGCCTGGGCTGGCTTTGAACTGTGATCCTCAGAGCTCAGCCTTCTGAGTAGCTAGGATTACAGGCGTGAGCCACCAGTGCCCGGCTAAATGTGCTTAATTCTTAGCTTCTCTTTTTCCTGAGATGAGGTCTCACTAAGTAGCCCAGGTTGGCCTTGAACTCAAGATCGTCCTGTTTTAACCTCTCTAATGCTGAGTTACAGGCACGCACCATTATTTCTGGCTACTTCCTGGCTATTAATTATTTAAAAATAGTTACAATGGATGTGTGCCAGTGGCTCATGCCTGTAATCCTACCTGAGATCGGAGGATCATGATTCAAAGCCAACCAAGGCAGAAAGGTCTGTGAGATTCTTGTCTTCAGTTAATCACCAGAAAGCCAGAAGTAGAGCTGTGACTCAAAGTGGTACAGTGCTAGCCTTGAACAAAAAAGCCCAGGGACAGCACCAGGCCCTGAGTTCAAGCCCAGCCTCGGAGGATCAGGTGAGATGGTTAGAGGAAGGCTGGACTTCCATCGGTCAGGGTGGGAGAGGAGAAGGCCAAGGGTAGGTCTCCTCGCTGCAGGCCTGGGATGGCTGAGTGGCTTATTTCTAGGGCCTGTCAGGCGGATGTCTGGGACAGTGTGAAGACCCAGCCCGCGATTCCGGCTTGGGAAGCTCTGACTGTCAAACAGTCTGTGTTCTGTCATGACGGTGTTCAAGTGGGAGCATGGCAGAAATCGAGCTGGTTCTCAGTTGGTGGCCATCAGAGTCACCTGGAGTGCTCCTTACACCCCAGCTGGCTTGGCTCCGCCTGGTCTCTCCCAGGGCTTGGGGCTGGAGGTGGGGGCGGTGGGGAGGCAGCGGGTGGGGACGGGCTGGGCATTCACGTCCCTCTCTCTCCTCAGACACCACCACGCGGCTCTTGCTGGGGGCCATCGCCGTCCTGCTTTTTGCCATCCTGGTGGTGATGAGCATCTTGGGTGAGCACACATGTCAGCGCATGATGCTGCCTGAATGTCAGAGCATGATGCCGCCTCGCTTATACATGACTTGCCCCCAGCATGGCCGAGGAAGCAAAGAAGAAGGCCCAACATACCAGGAATTCTGGGAGGCCACCAAGGAGACTGGAAGTAGAGTGCTGGCGTGGGCGACATGTTGGCCTCGCGAGCATATCCCGCCAGGCCTCACCCGCGTCCTCTTCTAACTTTTTAAAAAAATTTTATTTGTATTTTTACTTTTGCCAGTCGTGGGGCTTGAACTCAGGGCCTGGGCACTGTCCCTGAACTTCTTTTGCTCAAGGCTAGCACCCTACCACTCGAGCCACAGCACTGTTTCTGGCTTTTTCTGTGTATGGGGTACTGAGGACTTGAACCCAGGGCTTCATGCATGCTAGGCAAGGACTCTACCATTGAGCCACCTTCCCCCCCCCCATGCCCTCTTTATGGGCCTTGCAGGTGAGTTGGAAGTGACAGGCATTATTTCACAAGTGTTTTGAGAACTCACCAAACTTGGGGGAGGTTGGGCAGGCCATGCTTCTAGGTGATGGTTCAGAGATGAGGGACTTTAGATACCACACTTATTCAGCTTTTATTAGACCCTGCTGCTTGGAGGACCCTTGGACTCAGGGGTAGTCGTTTACAAACAGATGCTAAAGCTGAGTATGGTAGCTCATGCCTGTAATCCTAGCTACTCAGGAAGTAGAGAGCTAGGACTCTCAGGCTAGGTTAAGACTACGTCTTACTCAATGGCCTGGCAGGGTGTGGAGTGGCAGTTATCCCAGCAAGGCGGTGGGAGAGGGGAGAGGGCGGGGGAACACGTAGGAGGCCACAGTCCAGGTCAACCTAGGGAATAAAGCGAGACGCCCCCCCACTATGAAAATGAGCAATGCAAAAAGAAAATAGCCAATGGAAGATGGCACCAGCCGCATGGTTCAAGTGATAGAGCACCTGCCTAGAAAGCCTTGAGACCCCGAGTTTTATCTCCGGGACTACCACAAAAGAAAAAAATGGTGACTATGACCTCATGGCCTCTGCCCAGGGAGATGCGCAGTAGCAAAGGCATCGCTGTAGGGACTGCATGCTGAGCTTGTGGACAGACAGGAGCCCCCAGAGGTGCACCCGGTCCCCTAGCAAGGACGGATTAGCAGTTTTTGTTGATAACGACATGCACAGGCATTCACAGATGTGGAACCCATAGCAGCTGTTAGACTCAGAGGCTCTTACCGTCTTTTAGCAGCGGAATGAGGATGAATACACCGGAAAGTAGCTAGGAAATATAAAGGTGGTGGGCAAAGATGGAAGGTCTTTTTTTTTTGGGTCCAGTCGTGGGGCCTGAACTCTGGGCCTGGGCGCTGTCCCTCAGCTCTTCAGCTCAAGGCTAGCGCTCTACCACTTGAGCCACAGCGCCACTTCCGGCTTTTTTCTTTTTGCTTATGTGGTGCTGAGGAATCGAACCCAGGGCCTCAGGCATGCAAGGCAAGCGCTTTACCACTGAGCTACCTTCCCAGCCCTGTGATGGAAGGTCTTTGCAGAAAGTCTGTGATTGCTCATTACCTTGCTGACTCTACTTGTCTTCAAGGAGAGGAGAGGGGCTGCTCTTTTCTTTCTAGAGATGGGAGGTGTGTGTGTGTGTGTGTGTGTGTGTGTGTGTGTGTGTGTGTGTGTGTGTGTGTGTGTGTGTGTGTGTTTAAGAGATAGAGAGGGAGCCTTTCCCTTTCAGGTGCATCTGGGGAGCGCGGAGAACTTTACCTGTATCTTCTGGCTCTCAGCTGCATTCAGCCCAAATGATCCTTATACTAAAGTGGCATGTTTGGGGGTGGTTGTGTTTTACACATAGCCAAAGGGTGCTCGGAGAAACAAGGACTGAAAGGGTGGAAGAATTCACCCAGGCTGGGCAGGGGCCAGGAATCTGGCTACTCTTGAGAAGCTAAGCATGTCCCGGCTCCTGCTGGGTTTGTGAAAGGGGTCCGGTGCTTCTGCTTTTAATCTCTGAGGGGTGCTGGAGGGCCAGCGTGACTCCTTCAAACACAGGAGACCACCAGCAACACTGTCGCTGCTGCTCCAACCCCACAATGTGCCTTGCATGATAAGCAGAGGGTGTGAGAGTGTATTTTGAACTCAGGGCCTCATGCTCTTGCTTGGCTTTGTCACCAGATGCTTGCGTTCTACCACTTGAGTCACAGCTCCACTTCCAGCTTCATACTGGTTAATTGGAGATAAAAGGCACACAGACTTTTCTGCCACGGGTTGGCTTTACACCTTGATCCTCAGATCTCAGCCTCCTGTGTAGCTAGGATGACAGGCATGAGCCCCGCGCACGCGCTTGGCTGCACTGGGACTTAAAAGGCGATTTCCATGTGTGCTGGCCTGTAAGCAGACCAGCTTGGAAAGAGGCTGTACGAATGATGGAAGGGCATAGCTTAACTCCTTTGGCACGGAGGCCCATGGAAATCTGGAGGCGCTCCTTCCGAGTTTCTGTCCTAGAAAAGCGTGCAGTAGAGGCGTGCAGAGCCTGTTCACGGAATCAGTCTGCCGGCTGGACAGGCAGGGCCCTGGAGCCCAGCGCGGCGACCCCGCTGCTGCGGCTGGAGCACCATCCTAGGTGGCTGGGCTTTCCTGGTGGCAATGCCTCAGTGGAGATGAGGACACTGCAGAGAGGAGGCGATGGAGTCTGTGAGCAAGCATGAGGGAGGCCGGGGTCCCCCAAGGAGGCGGCAGAGGACAGATCTACCCTCTTCTTGCCTCGCCTTAGGTCTGGGTCACTGGACGGAGATGCACACTTTCAAAGGAACGTTCCAATTGGGGGCGTGGCTCAAGCAGTCCAGGGCTTGTCCAGCAAGCCGGAGGCCCTGCTTCCCATCCAGCACGTGTCCAAGCCAGTAGCTGAGTTTCTGGGCAGCGAGGGGAAGAGGAGTGAGAGTTTCAGAGGTGGGAGGGACACATACTGAGCGTCTTCTCCCCGCTGCCCGCAGCTTCGAAGGGCTGCATCAAGTGTGAAGCGCCCTGCCCGGAGGACTGGCTGCTCTACGGCAGGAAATGCTACTTTTTCTCCGAGGAGCCGAGGGACTGGAACACGGGCAGGCAGTACTGCCACAGCCACGAAGCGGCGCTCGCTGTCATCCAGAGCCAGAAGGAGCTGGTGAGCACACAGGACAGAGGCAGGGGCCCCCAGCCAGCCACCCTTGCCAGCAACGATGCAGACGCACTGCCAGCATGTCCCAAGTACCCTATGCCTGTCACCTGGCCACTGCAGAGCCACAGGGCTGCAGATGAACCCCGCCGCCCTAGGGGGCTGACCAGGGCTGCTTTGACTCCAGTACTCATCTCCTTCCCCCAGAATGAACTACAAGAAACGTGTTGGACACTGGTGGCTTACGCCTGTAATCCTAGCTAGTTAGGAGGCTGAGGATCCCAGTTTGAAGCCAGCCTGGGAAGGAAAGTCTTTGAGACTCTTATCTCCAGTGAACCACCAAAAAGCCAGAATCAAGAGGTAGAGTGCTAGCTTTGAGCAAAAAACTCCAGGATAGCATCCAGGTCCTGCGTTCAAGCCCCAGTATTGTTACACACACACACACACACACACACACACACACACACACACACACGTTATAAACACACTTATGAAATGTAAAAGCATTATGCTATACCAATCCACATCGGAATGTGTGATCTCTCTATTTAATACCCCAAACAGTTTTGCCAATAGTAATGTTAACAAACAGAATTAATAAATGTTAGGAAAGCTCAACTGAACAAACAGAAACAAAAAAGACAGAGACCTTAACAGACCAGATCAGATTTCAGTCATCGCTGAAGAGGGGCACCATGTAACCTGGAACAGAGTCTGATATAAAAGGCACATGGAAGGAGAGTCTGGGTCTTAAATACAGTCAAAGAAGGAAGCTGTTGGGTTGTGAAATCAGGGAGCTTCAGCAGAAGGTCATGTAGATATTATGAAGCTCAATGGCTATACTGCTACTTATTATGACTGAAAGTAGTTATTATTTTTTGTCAATTGTGGGGCTTGAACTCAGGGTCTGGGTGCTGTCTCCAAGCTTTTGTGCTCAAGGCTCATGTTCTACCATTTTGAGCCAAGTGCCACTTCTGGATTTCTGGTGGTTAACTGGAGATAAGTCTCGTGGATTTTCCTGCCTGGGTTGGCGTTGAAATAGGATCCTCCAAACTCAGCCTCCTGAATAGCTAGGATTACAGGTATGAGCTGCCTGGCTATATTTTTAGATAAGTCCTGAGAACTGGCCTGGGGTGTGTGTGGGGGGTGTGTGTGAGGTGGGTGGGAGGTCTATGGGCCATGGAGAGACAGCACTAGCTTATGAGAACAAGGTAGATTCCCATCAGTAAATCCCTTGTTACATTGGGGTTTAAGCCTGGTCATGTGGCATTTCCAAACAGCAGATGTGTTAACGATCATTTTTGTCAGTCTTTGGTACATGGAATTTCTCTGCCTCCTTGTGTAGAGAAAGTTCTAGAAGTATGGGGAAGGACAACCCACCTGAGCCTGGGTTTTTGTCCCAGAGGTCCAGTCCAGCCAGTGGGCAGAGTGCTGGGGCCTTGTAGGCTTCCTGGCCAGAGGAACTGCTGAGTGTTGGGTGACCAACACTGGACAGAACTCCCACATGACGGAAGGAGACTCAGCTCAGAATGCTCCTTTTCTGGCGTGGCGAGGTAGCCTTCCAGTGTCTGCCCATCCTGACAGCCACGGTCTCCCACGCAGAGCTTTGTCTTGGGGCGGTGCGGGAGTCTGGGGACTGCATCTAATAGCCACACATCTGACCGTACCTCTCTTTCTTATAGGAGTTCATGTTCAAGTTCACGAGGAGGGAGCCCTGGATTGGCCTGCGGAGAGTTGGGGACGAATTCCACTGGGTCAATGGGGACCCATTTGATCCGGACACGTGAGCTGAGGCGGCATCTTCTAGAAGGCCACAGAGCGTAGCTAGGGGAAGCCTCATCCCCAGATCCAACTCTCTGAGAGACGCACTGACTTTGTGCTGAGAAGTAACCGTGGGGGGTGATTGAGATCCTTGCACGGAAGTGGCAGGTGTCCTGGCCCTGCTGACACAGCCCTCAGAGCTCTGTGGCGTTAGGGCACAGGCTCGCTCTGCCTGTGCCTTCTTGATCTGTGCGGAGGGGCTCTGTGTGGCTCCTGTACAGCGCAGTCAGCCAGACCAGGAAGGAGGAAGGGGAGGCTGGAGTCCTCACCTCATTGGCTGGAGCTTAGTCACATGACCCCCCCACCGGGCTGCAAGGGAGGATGGGAGGTGGATGCTCTATTCTGGGCAGCCGTAGGCCACAAATGCATGGTCTCTCTGAGCATCCCTGACCACATGTGCTCAGGGAAGCCCCTCCCAAGGCGATGATGCTCGGGTGGGGGCTGGTATTTTTATGGCCCAAATGGTGCCAGGAGTGGTAGGTGGTGTGGGGTGGCGGTGGGGACGGTGACAGGTGGATCTGTGGGGGACAGGGTCGGCTTAGAGGTGTGCTGCAGAGGCCTGCGGGGGATGGAGCTCAGCTTTAGTCCAGCCCTCTAGAGGGGTAGAGCTGGCAGTGCCAGCCAGGAGTGGGCACGGATGCCCATCTGAGCATGATAGTACATGAGTGCCCAAAGACAGCCACAGAGCCAGCAGACCACAGCGGCCTTCACCTTTCCCCGCTCCCCAGCGCCCTTCCTGACTCTCAGTGCCTCTTCCTCTCTTCCTCTCTTCCAAGCCCCCAGCTAGCTCTTGCAAGAACTTGTGAATCTGCTTTCTTCCTACTTTTCTAGAAGCTTCCTTCTCTCAAACCCAGGATTATCCTGGAACTGGGATCTCGGAAGTGCTGCCGCCAGGGCAAGCACCTCTTGGGGGCGGGGGTCTTTCTGCTGTCCCCTTAGCGGCTAGGTAGCGGAAATCAGGGGGGACGCAGGTTTCTAATAATAGAGCTAGTCCTCGCGTGGTTTCAGTGAGTTCGGGCTGCGCAGCCCAGCGCTGCGGTGCTCCTGAGGCTGTGAGGATGGCTTCCTCCGCCCGTCTCTCCTGAACTCTCACCGTGTGCTCTGTAGCACGGTTGGGAAGTCAAGATGAGAGTTGTGCAGAGTCTACTGTCTAGGAGCTGGCTCACGTGAGAACTGGTGGGGACAGACGGACAGACACAGTCCCTTCAAGGTAGCGCCATGCGAGCTGCTCTTTGGCACAGGCAGGACGCTGAGGGGGACAGGCAGAGCGCGCTCCCAAACGGGCCCTGCGGAGTGCGGGGCGCAGAGCTGACCCTGGAAGGATGTAACAGCGGGGTGTAGACGGACAGAGGAGGACGCGTGGGGGGAGCTTGGGAGAGGGGTGGTCCACAGGGCCAGGGCACAGAACAGGGAGACAGGGGGAGACAGAGAAAGGTGCTTTGGGCCGCGTCTCAGGGTGCTTGCTGTGGGGATGGAGGACAGGCCGCAGGACTTGCAGGCACATGAGCTGCCCGTGCCAGTCCCAAATGCCTGGTGTCCTCTTTTCCTGGCACAGGTTCAGCATCTCCGGTCCAGGGGAATGTGTGTTCGTGGAGCCCACCAGGCTGGTGTCGACAGAGTGCCTCATGACCCGGCCCTGGGTGTGCAGCAAGATGGCCTACACGTGAGGGACCGCAGGCTGGAGGCGGCATCTCAACTCGGGCCCACGGGAGGCAGGCGTCTGCCCTGAGTCTGGCCTCCAGTGGGAGCCGCCTGCCCACTCCAAGTGGAAGGGGTGGGGTGGGGCATCTCTGCCCTGTCCCCTCTCTCTGGGTCTCCTCTGTCCCCAGGCAGGTCCTGTGGCTCAGCAGTTAAATCCCATATTCTAAGTAGCACATATGCATATGCAAATGCACACACACGCACACACACACACACACACACACACACACACAGAGGCCCTGCTCCGCCCACCCTTAGCTACCCACAAGCCCTTCCTTTGCCCTGGTGCTTGGGGAAAGCTGGAGGGCTGGCAAGGCCGCCATGAAGCTCCACCCTCCCCCATGGCTTCTCTTTCGGGGTGCTGGGGAAGGCAGGTAAGGCAAGGCTTCCTCCTCACCCCCCTCCAATCTAGCCCAGGCCCGGAGGCCCCTGCGTCCATCTGCCCTCTTTGCCTTCCCAGGGTCCTCAGGCAGGGCCGCTGCTGTGTCCGTGGTGCTGTTGTATGGATCACTAACGGAATAAAAAGATGGCTGGCGTCCAGCGAAGTCTGTGGTTATTGTTATTTATTCCAGGCTCACAGCTCGGGGGAGGCACAGAGGAGCTCTGTCTGCAGCAGCCACCTTGAGAATGGAAGATAAAAAAGAAAAAGGAACCCAAGAAATCTATTTTATGGCCTCAGGGTCTTTTCTCCTTTCAGCAGGCTACCGTGTTCTTAGCGGTCTAAAGCATAGGCTCCATTCTGTATTCATCAGCATTCTCCACTCATCAGTATTCAGGGCAAGATGACAAATGTTTATTCACACCTACCAGGTGCTAGACGCCATGCCAGGCATCAGGAATCCATGGCCTTGTCTCCCAAGGAGCAGAGGAAATGTTCTAGAATATTCTGGAACAGGGTAGAGAGATGGGTTATCCTGCCTTGAGGGAAGATGAGGAGATGGGGTATTGGGTGATGATCACCAGGGTAAGAGTCTCTGAGGTCTTTTAGCCTCTTCCTGTGCCGCCTCTTGTTCTGCCTGGGAACCAGGAAACAGGGCCCCCTGAGCTCCCAGTGTCCCAAGATGCCAGCATAAACTGTGGTGGGGACCTGGGCCTTTCCAACCTCCTCCTGGTGCCCCTGGCTGATGAGATGTGGACACCTACCTGAGAGGTCCTGGCCTTTGTTCAGAAACCAGGTCCTGCTGGCTCAGCCCTTTCCTGCGTCTACCATTCCTCAAAGCTGCCGCTGGTGTTGGCTAACTTTCCTGCATCTTCTTCAGACATTTCACCCAACAGAGGTGCTTTGTGCCTTCTGATTTTGTCTCTACTGGGGATCCAGTGGCAGACTTGACTGGAGTGTTCAATGAAGTGTTGAGAGAATTCTGGGGCCTGCCCCTGCATGTGGGGAAGCTCGGAGAGGGCTGAGGGCTGAGGACGTGGTCCGCGACTGCTGTTTGGTGAGGCCCCCTCCCACCTGGAGCTTGTCTGCAGACATGGCACTGGGTAGCTTGCAGGTCTAGGGTGATGGGTGCCAGGCTGGCAGGAGTGGTGACAGTAGTCTGGAGCCTCAGGATGCACAGTGGGTACAGATGGCATCAGGATGGCTCCGAAGAGATGAGGAGTTAGGACACACTCCCAGCTGGCAAGGAACTAGCCGTAATTTATCCAGTGACTTTGAACATTTTCATGGGTGGGCTGTGAACATTTTCCAAGACATTCAGCAATTTCAGAAGGGCGAATTAACTTCCAAAAGATGTTGCTTTCAGCCAGTAGTGGTAGTCAACACCTGCAATCCCAGCTACTTGGGAGAATAAGACAGGAGGATTGAGACTCAAGGTTAGCTGAGGCAAAAGCATGAGACCCTGGCTGAAAACAAACTGAAGGCAAGAACTAAAGGCCGGGACAAGTGGCAGAGAGCTTGCCTAGCAAGGGAGGCTATGTCTTTATTTATTTTTATTTGAGGCTGCGATCTTATAACCTGTGTGTCTTTGGGGTAAAAAAAAAACAAAACCATGTGAGGCAGTGTACAGTGATTCCAAACAGTTTAATGTAATTCCAAGACAAAGTGTGATTACATTTCTACACATATACAATATGCATATGTGAGTTTACAAATTTTAATAACTCGTTTCACCTCAGAGACCGAAAAAATGATCAAAAAGAAACTGAGAGTAACAAGCTATAACAGTTCACCACAACAGACCCCCCCTCACCCTACAGTTAGTAATATTACAATTAAAATAACTATATTCTTCTATAATTTTTTTCTGTTAAAATCATCTCATAAATTTACAATGCTATTATTAGTTTCCAAGACTAATATAAATTCACTCCATTTTTCTACAACGAAAATGATTATTTATTTAGAAGCACGCGACATCCGGATGAAAACCACACGCATTTTAGTAGCAAAGACTTGATCAGTTAAGAATCTGTTTTCTTGAAAAAAACATTTCTAAAGCCAAGTAAAATATCCATTCTTATAACATACCTATAATATGAGACTAAGGAATAGGTTACGTATAGGTCTACAACACATTGGTTTGTCTTTTTATTTTTTAAAAAAGTAGACATTTATAAATAAAAAAGAAAAGAGGGACAATTCACAGAGGAAGAAGGGTACACGAGAAAATACTGTTGCACGCAATAATTTCCACACAGATTAACATGGATTAACACTTTTTAATACAGAAACCGTACAGTGAAGGAACACAACAGCGCAGGGCTTTCGCAGGGTGACTGAGATTGAGCTGAGATGACTGGCTAGAGAAAGATCTAGACGAGATGACTTTGGGGAGGGAGCCACATTCCTTAGATGGGCGGGGTGTGTGTGGGTGGGGGGGGGGGTACACGACTGAGTGTTGCCAGGTCTCCTCTTCCTTGTCCTTATTCTGGAGTGTGTCTTTCTATCCAAAGTCTCCTGAATTCCTGGGTAAACATTTTCACAGATCTGTTCTCTTACCATCCTAATGGATACCATTTTTGGAAACGTGCTAAGAATCTCAGGCCACAGCTCAATACATGTGGTCAAAGCAAAACGGGATGGAAAATTCCAGTCATTCTGATCTGGTCTGCTGCCTCCCCCCATGCCTTTGATGATGCTGGACGCTGAGAGCTGGGGAGGCCCCCCGGGGGGACCCGGGGCTGCCCTGTGTGTGGAGGTGGCAGGGCTGGTCCCACAAGTCCAGGCCGCTCTCACCTCCCAAGGGCTCCTCTTCCTCCACATCCGTAAAGCTATACTTTTCCTATCAGGATTTGGTTTGATATATATCTACACAAACATATATATCAACATCTCTATCTATACAGATCTACGAAACTAGAAAGCCTGCTCCCGCCCCTCCCCCCAGCCATGCCTTTCTCTGCTTCATTTGGTTAAAAACGCACAAAAAGAGGGTGAAGGGGGGTGCTTTGGGGGCCCTGGAGAAAGCCACAGAGGAAAGTAAGCTATCGATGGGCAGTGACAGAAAATGGAGGGACGTGGAAGGCCAGGCAAGGAAGATGTGCGCTGAAGGTGGGGAGGAGCCACCGAGGGTGGAGGAGGGCGCAGGGAAGTCCCTTCCACTCCCCCCACCGTGGTCCTTATAATGGGAGCCAAGCTCTGCAGCCAGCGGCAGTTTGGGGAGACCAGACGGCTGCCATCAGGCAGCACGGCCTCTCTTCCTGGGTCTCAAGCTTCCTGGGGTCCTGAGTGCCTGGACAAGGGCCAGCGGTGACAGCAGGGAGGGGGCCACGGGGACAGTAACCCAATGCAAGGAGGAGGGGGAGAGGGAAAGCACACCAGGAGAGATTCATGTGGAGATCGGCTGAAAGGAAATGAGAGCAATGGCGGAGCCCTTCTTCATGTACAAGGATCGCGCTTGTTTGCAAATGAAAACGCCCGTTTTCTCTACCTCTAGTGGTAAATACAAATACAAGCCCCCGAGACAGTGTCACAATACGCATTTGGTGAATTAGTGCAACGGAACACACACACAGACCGAGACGAGCAGGGAGGATGGTTGAGAAGGAGATGAAGTATATCCCACACTCACAACTGGAGCAAAGCCGAGGACCATGAGCCTGCGGGAGGCACCGCGGTTCCCCAGGGAGAAGTTGGAAGCACACCTTGAACACAGAGCACTCCAGCTCCGGGTGTTTCCAAGTCTCTGCTAGAGGGATGGCTCAGCCTTGGGGTAACCACAGGTTCTCACAGTTTGGTGGTGGTACAAGAGAAAACTGAAACCAAGCTCCCGGGGAAGCTGGCATTTCCGATCTGCTCCTGCCTGACAGGACGGTGGGGTCCACTTGCAACTCTGGAGACCGGGCCTCACCTTTCCCAGCTCAGCAGCTCCAACCATCCCTGATTGGATGGAACCTTTGGCCCCTGCCCACGGACCAGGCCTTCCTTCTCAGATGGACAACAGGTTTGAGATGTCGGTACTCCTGTCCTTTTACACTGATTCTATTTAAAAGGGGCAAATGAAGAGAAGACAGCATGCATGCGGATGGAAACCCCAGCCAAAACGAATGCTGGCAAAAGGGGTGTGTGATATCCCTGGCAAAACACTGATCCAAATAGTCATGGATTAGCTGGATGCTTGGTGGCTCACGCCTGTCATCTTAGCTACTCAGGAGGCTGAGATCCGAGGATCATGGTTCAAAGCCAGCCCAGGCAGGAAAGTCTGTGAGATTCTTATCTCCAGTGAGCCACCAAAAAAGCTGGAAGGGGAGCTGTGTGTCAAGTGGTGGAGTGCTAGCCTTGAGCAAATAAAAGCTCTTGGACAGCACCCAGGCTCTGAGTTCAACCCCCAGGACTGGCAGGCACACGTGTGCGTGTACACACACACACACACACACACACACACACACACACACACACACACACACACACACACACACACACACACACACACGTCATGGAGGGGGAAAGGAGGGCCCAGAAATAGCCTCTGTGTTTTCAAGACCACTTGTATCTTAGGGTCTTCTACTGCCTGGTGAGTGAAGCTATTACTAAGTTAAACGATCAAACTAAAAACCAAACTAATGAGCCAGCAATCAGGTCTCACTATGCGGTGGGAAGGCCGCCTTGAAGGTGAGTGACAGGCCGCGAGACTCCACATCTGGTGGGGCTGGGCTGCAGCCCTTCGCTCTCCAGCCCGACTCACGCTCCCATTCTCGCAAGGTCACTTGGAGGCAAATGCGCACATGGGACAATGGAATAGTATGGAGAGAGAGAACATACCTGCCGGGAGCGAAAGGGGCCTGAAGATGTCGGTTAGAAACAGAAATGGTCTTAAAAAAGGTACCAGTTTAAATGTAAACTATAAAACGCAGCCAGAAATCTGTTTAAATATCCACAGTTAGTTAAGTTTAAAACGAGGGTCTCCTGGATCTATCAGAAAGCTAACAGCATCTTACAGCAGCTCAAAACACAGGTTGCACATGCGTGCGTGAACACGGCGCCCCATGACCGCTCAGCAGCACGATCTCTGCCCTGGGGTCACGTCTGTGGTAGAGATGGACTATCTTCAGAATTCACTTCAGCGACGATGACCAGAGTGCA